AGGAACTCCGTTCTGCCTTTTCATAGCAGTTGCAAAATTTTAGGACTTTCTCTAGATTCTCGGCTAAAATTTAGAGAGCATATTACAAGCAAATTAAAAATTGCATATGGTAGTTTAAAATAATTTATGTAAGTCGTCACTGCCTATCGGAGGATATTAAAGGGCTTCTTTGCGATACTCTATTTAGATGTCCACAATTTGAATCTTTGTAGACAGGGTCTCCTTATTGTGCCACAGCATGGAAAAGAGCATTTAAGAAGGTTCTTCTCAAACCAAATTGTAAATCGCGTGCTTGGAACAAGAGTGGCACAATAAAAAAGAACTCAATTTTTCAGGATACCTATTTTAAACTCTAATTTAATTGTAATTCTCATAATAAATAAATGGAATCATTGATATAAGTCTACTAAAATGTACTCCATTAATATAGAGAAGTCACAACAAAACCATAAAAAAAATCACAATTTTTTTTTAATGTGTCGTATTTCTCTAAAAAAATATTTCGACAACACAACACAACGAATATTGCAAAACGTGTGTTTATGCTGTCGAAATGGACAAATAAATATAATATTAGAAACGACATTCCCCAAGTTTTCGTAAATATCTAAACATAAACAGTTGAACTCAATGTTTTCTGACACATTAAAAAATTTCCGACTAAAGAATAAACTTACAATCTTGAATTGTAATTAACATAAACTCAGCTTATAAAAGTTATAATAATAGGAAGGAATCACTTTTGACTTGAAACGATCAAGAAAGAATTTTTTCTTCTTATTCGTAATACGTTGTTTTTTCTTGTCAGCAATTTTGGTGATAGCTTTGCTTTTATGTTTTATATCAATCTTGGAGAAGTTTTCATAGCTGAATAATTTTTTGTAAAAGATGCTCAGCTCATGTGTTTTATTTCAACTTGAAGCTCTGAAACCGGAGCTGTCTATCGTCAAAACATGAATCCGCTTTCCAAAACTTTTAAATTCTTGAAATCTTGATAGTTCATTTCTACAACTTCATATCGTTTACCTGTTTTTTTTTGTCAATCGAATAAGTGTAAAATAATGCTCTAGTGTATAAATGTATAAATATGAAAATGGGACCGCTTCTCAGTGAACTTTCGTTTTGCGCGTGTGTCCTTTCACTAGAAATTTGTGTTATGCTACTTATGAAGGGATATTCTTTAATTGATAAATGGCCATCATAAAGCGATGCTTTTGTTGGCCGCAATTGTCTGTCTACTTTTAAATACTGAAACATGCATGTGCCAATCTTACTAACTCCTCTGTTTCCTTCGGCTTCATGCTAGACATAATAGTTAACCTCTTTACACGATTATACACAGATCATTTCGAGGTATAATAAAAGTTTGACAATTGTCTTTCAAACCATTTTGGTCTTGCTCTTTTTTCCAGTCTTGACGGGATACGTTATTTAAGAATCAATTAACAACTAAACTGATTAGGAATTGTGACACATTCATAAAGTGACAGTCCGACTTTTATCGCTAAGACAGTCATTTGAAAATGATATCCTTTAATAAAAATTAAGTACTTTATATTGACCTATCTTTATGAATTAAACAGTCACAAAACATTCGTAACTGAAAATTTGACTTTCCTCTACCAAACGCTTCGCACACTTCAACTTAATTTCATAATGACACTACGCCATGTCGTGGCAAATATTGATAATTAAATTTTGCCGTTTTTTCCAGAAAACTTCTATGGTTTTGGATTGTGCTTGTTTATTTTCGTGTGCTACATTAAAATACTCTTCAAGGTACAATGTTTACTTTTTTCAATGAAAATTACGCCGACATTCACTTTGTTTATTTGAATGAGCGGAAGATGATGAATTACGTCGACGATTTCCCACTCGTAGAGGGTCTTGTAGAATTGTTTTAAGCAATGTCAACGTTCTATTAGTGCTCGAAGAATAAGTAATAGACTTCACGTAGGCCGGATGAGAGTATGGAGAACTTTACAAAATTTCGGTTTGTACCCGTACCACAAGACTTGAATTTAGTCCCTGGATATTGAGAAATCAAATGATTTGGCGGATAATGTTATTTAGCGGTGAAGCCTCATTCATCCGAAACTGTAAAATCCACGACAAACTTGGGAAATCCTATTTTCAAAATAGATTATAGGTGAATATTTGGTGTGGTATTATTGATGACGTTCTCATTGGTCCTTTTACAATTAAAGAACGTCTCACCGCCATTTGTTACTTACATTTCCAATATTACTGGATGAGGTTTTTCCTAATGTAAGACAATGAATGTGGATTCAGCACAATGGCGCACCTCCTCACTTTGGTCGACAAGTAATAGAATTTCTTAATGAAAATTATACAAACCGGTGGATTGGAAGAGATTCGGCGATTCCTTTGTCGGCAAGGTCACCTAACGTTAATCCCTTAGATTATTTTTTATCGGAAAGACTGAAAACTTTAGTCTATGCAGACAGTATTGAAAACAGAGAACAACTGGATGGCGCACAAACAGTTCGTGCTGATCCTGAGACAATTAGCAGAGCTACCATTTTAATTCTAAGAAGAACCAAGCTATGTGTACAGCAACTGGGTGAACATTTTTAATAACTAATTCAACAAAATAAAATATAAATAAATAAAAAATAATAAAATAAAAAATAAAGGTGTTTCTTTCAAATGGTCTATAAAATTTCAAATGCTCTTAGTTCATTTAGAATAACCTTCCGGGAATATGTTCATTTTACATTTTTAACTTGAAATCACCCCAGCAACACACTTTCCAAGCTATGGCCGACATGTCGTGGAACATCCTGACAGTATCACAAAAATTAAAGTGACTTAAAACCAACTAATCAATCAACCTTGTTTTTAATATCTTTGACAACAAATAGTACGAAATCTAGTACCAAAATTCTATCAAGGTTAAAGAATTTTGTTTCTTCTGTTCACCAAATATCATTTTTGAAGACTTTCTTGCATTAATATTCAAATGAGGATGAATTGAAAACTGTATTAATCTATCCAAATCTTAACATATTAATATTGGCGGAAGAAATGAAAGGTGCAGTTGTATCGTCCGCGTAAAGGTGTACGTTGCAAAATCGCAAATAAGATTTTATATTTCAAATATAGATAGCGAATAGAAGAGACCCAAGGATCGAACCTTCCGGAACACCACACTCAATTGGATCCACAGATGACACTGTATCCTTAAACTCGACATATTGCAGTCTGTTATTGAGATAATTGCGTAATAGTAAAACCAATAAAATATAAAATTGCAAGGAACAACTCGTGGTTTAATCTATCGAAGGTTTTACAATAATCAAAGAGTATCAGGGCGGTCGCTTGACCTTAATCAGGGACTTTGATTATGTCATCTGTGACATTTAGAAAGAAAGTAAATAAATAATTCATTATTTTTCAACTACTTTTGCTAATACTAGTAATATACTAATCGGTCTTAAGTCACTAAAATGTTAGATTCCAGACTTTTTAGGGAGTGGAATTATTTTCGACATCTCCCACTTCTCCGGAAACACAACATACAACACAACGGGATGAATTCTTAATTTCTAATAAAAACTTCCCAATATTCTCTTCATCAACTGTGTAAAAACCAAATGGCACTTCAGAATTTGTTTTATCGACAATAACACGGCGAATGTTGTCTTCCAAATGGTCAAGCGTTTGTGGCTTATCCGCATAGACCAATGACTTTACATAGCCCCACAGCTCTAGTCTAGCGGTGTTAAATCACAAGATCGTGGATGCCAATTCACAGGTCGAAAACGTGAAATTAGTCGGTCACCAAACGTGTCTTTCAATAAATCGATTGTGTCACGAGCTGTGTCACATGTTGCGCCGTCTTGTGGAAACCACATCTCCTGGACAACATGGTTATTCAATTCAGGAATGAAAGAGTTAGTAATCATAGCTCTATACCGTAACGTTCTGGTCATTATCGTTTTTGAAGAGGTACGGACCAATGATTCCAGCAGCCCATAAAGCGCACCAAACAGTCAGTTTTTCCGGATGCAACGGTGTTTCGCCATACACTTGAGGATTAGCTTCGCTCCAAATGCGGCAGTTTTGTTTGTTGACGTAGCCATTCAACCAGAAGTGCGCTTCATCGCTAAACAAAATTCGCTTGTGAAAATCGGGAACAACGTCAGTCTCGTTTTGGGCCCATTCGACGGATCTACGCCTTACTTGATGATCGTTTGGCTTCAATTCTTGCACGAGTTGGATTTTGTAAGCACGTAAACCAAGACCCTTCCGCAGAATCTTCCATAAAGTGGATGGACACAGATCCAATTCCTGTGCTCGATGGCGGATGAACTCATTCGGGTCTTCCTCAATGCTACGCTCTACAGCAGCAATAGCTTCTCCTTTACGCATCGTACGCCGTCTCTGGGGATGCGAGTTACCAATAAGAGTAAATGAGGTGCGAAAATGTTCCATGGTTAATCGAATTAGCTGCTCTGATGGACGATTTTGTTGACGATAAAATGGACGTAGTTCGCGATACGTATTCCGCACAGAACCATAATTTTCAAAATAAAATTGCGCTATTTGCAAGCGTTGTTCAAGCGTGAGTCTATTCATGATGAATTGCCAAACCAAACTGAGAATAAATCACTTGACAGCTGTTAAATCGGTCGCCATCTTGAACAGTAATGCCAACTTAAAGTTCTATACATCGAAAAAAAACATCCATTATTTGTTTGTTTTTTCTTTGTTTTTACGTCACTATTAACTTTTTTAAACCTACTGAAAGTCTTATATTATAATAAAATCTTTTTTTTTTTGCTTTGGATTTTATTTCCTTTAAAATAACTAATTATACATCGATCTAGCATGCGGGAAGTGTCACTTTACGTCGTGCGACACCATGTATATCTTTCCATAGAAATTAGTGACCGGAAAATCCCGTTACTGGCCTATTTATTCCAATGGCGAAATCTCAACAGGCGCAAATATAAACCTAAAGTAGTGTTGCTCACCTCGGCGCTCTTGAAGTTAATATTTGTCCGCACAGTTCTCTGATGCAGGGGCTGTACAGGTCGGGCGTTATTTCCCAAGGGCGCTTTGGGGGCCTCCTCCGACCCTTGCATTAATTTTCTCAGTTGATACAGCTGAAAATGAAAAATACACGTTCGTATTCGGGCACGCAAATTTCGGATTAAATTCATTTGAATGGCGGCGTAACGACTGCAAGAAACTCTCTGAATACTTTGCGGAATGCGAATTATTTATTTTTGCCATAACGGGCTGTAATCGCGGGTCTCGCGGGTAATTGCACCCTGGCAACGATCACTCGTTATTTCCTTTCAGCCATTACGTCAAAGAAATTACTCGAAATTGCCTATTTGGTTATGACGTGCCTCGAAAACAGTTGCCGGTTTAACGATAATCAACTGTTCTTTCAAACTCGGAGCTTTGTCTTACGAACTGTTCTTGTGGGTGGTACGTTATTAAAGCTAAAAAGACCACTATACCATTAATGTTAAATCTAGAAATCAGCAACAAAATCATTTTTTCGCAAAGCTGAATGGCAGAAAGATAAAGAATTTGATTGAAGAGGATAATGGTCATCTTAAAACATTTGTTTCCACTAAACAAATCAACCCTAAACTTAGATAAACTAAATATACTCTAGTAACTCTCCTTTTTTAAAGAAATTTCTAACATTAAGCGAGTAATTTGTTAAAGCTAAGACAAATTCAAATGATGTTTATTTAATGCTGTTTGCTCTATGTCTGTGGCGGTGTCCGACCGCTTTTCCAATATGTACTGTTTCAAAATTAACTTAAAAAACCTTGATGATATTGAAATAAATCGTGCTTAAATTGTTACTGTCAGATATAGTAAGATAGGCTCTGATGAAGTTCAAGAGTATGAAACAAAACATTGGCCAAAAATTAGATGTATCATAAGAATTTTCTAGAGTAATAATGTGGCTAACCGATTGCAAATATTTAGCAGTTTCTCATAAACACATTCTTTTATTATATCCACTCTAAAAGTGGGATAAAAATTTTGTGATCTAATGTAACGCTTTAGATGATGCCACATGTGCTCTTTGCAAGCAACTGTAAGTTCCGTTTTCTCTGCAAACATATACTTTTATATGTTGAATGCTTTTAAAAGTTCAAAAAGGTCACTTCTTTAAAAATTTTCTTCAAATAAAAAACATTTGCTGCCATGTAGCTTTGAAATTGCAACTATGTATTTAACGTCTGGGATAGATAACATTGAATATTACCATGGCGCCATTCTCGCGAATGTTACATAGAAGGCAAGCCCTGTAAAATTGTTCAAAAAGTTCTGTATTCTACATTCATGGCACTTAATGCATGAGTTTGGTTTTTCCAGTGTGAAGTTTCTTCATTTACAGGCTGGAATTACTAAACACTAACCAAACGAATTAGGATCAAGTATAGCAAAATAATGTTCAACTAGTTTTTGTTCGGTTATGTACTCTGTTAATGGGTCGAATTTGCTGAACTTTGGCTGAGCTTTACTGAAACTTGCTCTCATTCTACTCTGTACCTGCTTAAATATTGTTTGAGGTGGGTGGAGCTAAAGGAGAGGCATGAGTATTGTCTCGGATGACTGATTCCCATATTGGTAAAAAGTAAAAACCTGAGTCGCGGTTAAGATGGATTTTTCGTTGGTAAAGGTACGTGCAAGACTTTTAGTTTTATCGAATAAAATTTGATGGCCGGTTTCGTTATTTTGTTCGGCAACTGCTTCTGAGTTGATTTGTCGTAGTCTTTCTCTTCTCGTCCGATCTCTCCAATGCATTCTTTGTCGCATGTGACTGTAATGCTGTAAATTCCTGTTATCGCGAACAAAATTTTTTCTTTGACGGTTTTCACGTTATATGTCTTATGAACTTTTGGTAGGTGGTCATGTTGAAAGTAATAACGGCGTGCGGGGTTGTGGTGAAGTATATTTTGTGATGGAATGCTTAATATTTCTAACCTGGAAATTATTACTTAGAAGAGCAGATGTAATGTGTTTTAATTCTGGGTTCAGTGCTTCGGTTTGGGATAGTGTTACGACTCTGTAAATAAGAGAGTTAATAAACGATGATTGTTTTTTTTTGGCTAATTAATTTAAATGGCTAAGACAATCTCGGAGGGATTATTGATGAAACTGTGTTCCCAGCGAAGGGTTTTAATATAAAAGCTTGATATTTTTCTAAAGAATATGTTGGGGAAACAATGGTGCTGACAATAGGTCAAAGGGATAATCCTGGTTTGTCTTACGGAATATGTAGAGACGGGGAATTTTAAGATCATCAGGAATAATTGGCTTTTTCACAGATTATGATAGAGGAGAAGCCTTAATAATAGATTTAAGGTTGCGTTCCATACACGATTTTCGAGGTTGACGAGAGGATCCGTCTGTAGGAATATCTTTCCTTATATTCATATGTTTATGACTATCGTACACTCTTCTTTATCTGCTTTTAGAATTATGATGTCGGGTTAGATTTTAGATATTTTAGAGCAATGCGTTGAGGTTTCGGAATTTAGGAGGTTTTCTATTTAAAAATTTTTTTGCGATTTCAAATCGTATTTCATTAAATCTTTGAGATGGCAATATGTTTAGTTGAAACCTTTTGCAGCAACTGATTTTTCCGGAAGTTGATGCGATGATGCACTTACCACAATGTTTGGTAGTTCAGGAGAGTTTGATGGTTTCACTCATTGAATGTTATTCGAGGTAGCAGCTAAACGAAGATTTTCAGCTTTGTCATTAATCTGTTTAGACTATCGAACTCAGATGGGGACAAGATATAAACTTTTTCAAGATATAGAGACAGAGGAGTCTTATTGATTTGGTTTATTTCTCTCCAGGAATAATGAATTCTTTCTCGAAGTAAAGCAAAACTAGATTTACGAAGAACTTTATAAACAGGTGAGGTTTTGACATGATGGGATATTTTACGAACATTTGGGATAACGTTACACACTACAACGTAATAAAAAAGTCATTGTACAGGGTAATCTTACCAGTTTCAGTGGATGGTGTTCCAAAACGGCTTGTTAACGCATTACAGACACTTATGGAAGTTTCTTAAAAAAAATAATAATCATAGCATGTTGTAGAAATGTTTATAGAAAAAGCGGAAAATGGCGACAAATAATCTGGTTCACCAATATTATAATAACTCAAGAAGAAAGAAACAAGATCGACGTAGAGATTGCGGCAATAAGAGAAAAGAGATTCGTAATAAAATAATTGCGATATACACCGATGTACACCGACAGTCAAGCGGCAATTAAAGCTATGCTATCCACCAAAAGGACATCTAAGTTAGTTCGGGATGGTCATTAAGCATTAAATGAGAAACAGGAGCAAAACAGGCCAAGCAATTAGTAAGTCCTTCGGCCAAAATTCATTGCAGACCTGCGGGCTGCAAGAGAAAGACAGAACGAATATTTTTAGGTTTATTGACGAGTCAATGCCCGCTTAAGAGATATCTAGGCCCAATGGGAGTGGAAGAAAATATAGTAGGAAAAAGCCACATATGTACTATGCTAATGTGAACCATCTGCTGGGCGTAACCAAGCCTTAAGCAACGAACTGACACCAACGAGCAACTATCGAAACTGTGGAGTCTAATCAGAGAGACGAACACCAACACGAAGCATCATAGCTATGGGCAGACTGAGTTCTAACTCTCACAAAATTTGAATATAGCATCTTGAATATATCGTAAACATCTGCTTTATTCACATTTTATCTGGGTTGTAACCTAGTGTTGTGTTGATCTTCTACCGCGAGTATTATTTTTCCGATAAAAAGTAGGCAAGAATTGACCAGTTTCACGATCAGTTGCTGTAAAAATAAACATCCTCCGAGTTTAAATTTAAATTAGCAGTCGTTTACACAAAACAATAGCCGCAATTAAAGTCGTTCGTACGTTAATATTAAAATTAACATCCCCGCGCGGCATTCCAGAGTAAATCACGAGTCGCAAAAAGCGTGCGCCTAGTTCAAGTTCAGGCAGTTTTTAGTTAATTGGCGTCATATATTCGGGCTAAGCCAGACTCGTACCTCGTGTTTGGTAATATAAATGGGCTTATTAAGGATGATCCAGACCGTTGTCTCCCAGCAACCCGGGTGCGTCGTCGAGCCCTCGTACGTCATGAAATAGTTTGTTTTTGGCAGCATTTCTTTCAGCGATATATGCTTGATCGCCGTGGAGGCACCTGAAAGCAAAATGATGACTTTGATATTCGACCCACCTGAAAAATGAGCATAATTATGATAAAGTACTTGGAGCCAAAATATAAAATAAACACACACGTAACACGTAAAAAATTTATACTTGATGCACCTTATCCTGGGCCTAGAGTCTAGAGGGTTTCTCAAACTATGAAAAGTACATGGAGGATAAGGAAACATGGGTATATTTGGGGCATTGCGGCATTGCCATATCTACTGGAGCCAGATTCCAATTTTTTAGTGGAGCCTTGTTGCTTTCGAAGGCATTGGCGTCTATCTTTTCTTAGCGATTGGGAGCTATTGAAATTCAGAGGCTGGGGGGCCGGGAAGTTTTTTTAAAAATTGAAAAACCGCACCGGTACATACTATCGGAAAAATTCTTGATCGAAAAGACGCTCGAGCTCAGTACCAAAAACCTTAATTCTTGATGATAATTGACCATAACTAGAAGGCTGTGTTTCAGTTGCCGATTTCTTTCAAACGACTATACAACCTGGGTGGACAGCTAGGTTTTCACATATTGTATAGAGTGTTCGGGATATTCTACGCTATATTCAAAAATGTAATAAGAGTTCCAAATTTATAGCTAATAACTTCAAATTTAGCGGAGAAGCAAAGACCGCAGAAAATGGGAACAATTAAGACTTGTCTATTTTTTAAAAAACGTTTTTTTTTTGTTATTTTGGTTCTCAGAAAAAAAAATTCTGGATAACTATTAACTAGGCAAAAATTATTTAACCAGGAAATGCGGAAGGTCCGGTACTATAACTTTTATTTCAAGCATTTTTTCGATCGATACATATACATTTATTTTTCAATTATGGATAAATCCGAAAGACCCTGATCGTTATTTTCAAGAGTACATTATTAAATATATAAAAATATGGCTAATTTGTTTAGATTGTATTGCCGACCACATGACGTTCTCGTGCGTAAATTTTTGGCGATAAAAGAATAACTGTTAAAGGTGGGATAATTGTGTCGAAAGTTTCGGTTTTCCATAGTGGTCCGCAGGAACATGATAGAGAAACAATGCGTCCCTCCGGGACAAAATACAAACTGCGTAGTGACTTTGTAGACCGCGTAGCGCATAGTACGGGTCAGGTGCTTCGCACAGCCACGAGATTTCGAATGCAATCTTGTATATTAGTACACTTTTAAATTCTCTTCAAAAATTTTAAAACTTTCTCTGAGATATTTTGCAGACAAAAATTATCTTTTAGAAAATTTTGCGGAAAGCATTGAATGCAATGAATGAAATGAATCTTTCAACCAGTTTAAGTGAAAATCTGAAGTTTTGTATGCAGCTGCCAATGAGGTGCTATATCATAATATACTTGACGTTAAATATATGTATACATTTCAAATTTAAATGGAAAAGTAAAGATTCGATTGATCTAAAGGTACTATAAAATACCGTACCTATCTTGTCACAGTTTGGAGTTAAAAGTAAAAAGCAATTAGATAGAATTTATGAAACAATTTGTTTTATTTATTATTTGACGTTTTTTTGATATGACGAATTCATATTTAAACAACAAAAAAAGTTCAGAAGAATAGTTTTGAAAACTATAAGCTACCTTAAATTTTATGCATATTCTCATAAGAAGCTAAGATAAATAACATGCTTAATTATAAATTAATTGCATAGAAATTCTTTAATCCATTTTCATAACATTTCTGGACTACACAAAGTTTTTACAAAGTATTATTTGACTGACGACTGCAACGTGTAATGTTAATAAACCGTTTTTTAAATATGAATTCACCACATCAAAACAAACTTCGTAATCTTAATCTTAATCAAATAAATTTGCTTTGTTTAGAGCTCATTATTCTAGTTTCTCGCTTTTAACTCCAAAATGGTTTAAAATAGGCTTGGTACGTTATATTTGCTTATAATTATATAATAATTTACAATAATCATATTTTAAATTTAAAATGTAAGTTTTACATATTTTACATATTTTGCAAAATTTGCATAATATTGTAAAACCCTGTATGTAGCAGCTTAACTCTCATGTAATAATATGATACAGAAGCTTATTGATAAGCTGTAAACAAAATTTCAAACTTTTACATTCTACTCTGTTTGGGGGAAGCAGAGCTAAAGGATGGGCATGAACATAGTCTCGGATAACTAATTTTTATATTGGTGAGTTAAGATTGTTTGTTGGTTTACAGATTTCTATACATTTTCGGATTTTTCTTTGGTAGATATTCTTATCAATATAAAATAGAACCTAACATTGGATTCACTTTACAGAAAACCTAGGCACACCTTAATGCATTGTCACGTCACCATAAGACCCAAAAATCATCGTTTATCAACTCTCTTGTTTACTGAACTGGACTCAGAATTAAGATATCTAGCATCTCTCAAATAATTTTCTCAATGAGGATATTAAGCGTTCCATTACAAAATGCACTTATCACAACCTCCTAAAGAAAATGAGTCCGAGAGCAACTCAACACTGGTCACTGTGGTTCTTCCTTACATTCAAAACATTACCGACACACAAATCAAAAATTTTAACAATATATTACGTTAAAACCATACATTGGAGGAACATATTCATGTTCGTCCTTTAGCTCCGCCCCTCTCAAATAGCTTGTAAGCAAGTACAAAATAGAATACCAATCAGTTTCAGTTAAGCTTTGAAGAAGCCAACTAGAAAAGTCAGCAGGTTCTGTTGAAGAAGATATTAAGTATTAGGGTAGCCTGTAGAATTATATAGAATATAATATTCAATTTTTTATTCTGCTATTACTTTCTGATTGTTCCTGTATAATACATTCCTGGACTTATATTTAGCGGCTTTCGAGAATTTAATTATTTTCCTTATTGCGTGTTGTAGTGCTCCTATTAAATATTAATAACCGCAGTGTTTGAATTCGTGGAAAGCTGGAATTTTGAGCGTAGTTTAACAAGATCCCATTATTTAGTTTCGAGTGTTTGTTTTGCGTTACGCAGTGGCATTTAAAATTCCGTAACCAAAACTATTATATGGCTCCATGGTGAACTACGTCAAAAAATATATAAATCTAATAACTAACATTAAATTTCTGTTTTAAACAAAAAAATAAAGGAAATAAAAGTAAAAGCTATTTCCCGTCCCATCTTAACGATCCAGAAGGGGCAAATTTGGAGTGAATGCGTTCCGAGTTGCGAATTAATAAAGACAAGTAATTTAAGTTAACTTATTATGTTACTTCGTGCAGCTTACAAACTGAAATTGAGATCAAAGGAGCGTAGTACACATTTAGATTTCGAAATCAAACAGCGTTACCAAAGTGGCGGGAAACAGGGGTAAAGAAGAGAGGGCGCGAATGAGCAAGATGATATGACGTTAGTGCGTTATTATCAATGATGAGCTTCGTTTGCCCTTGTTTTCAAATTCTGGATGGTGTAATTTGGTTCAAATCAGTTATATTATACGAGAATCTCGTGTGGCTATTTTGTGACATTAAATAATTAATATTATTGATTGTTATTTCTGATTTTGTTACTAAGACCTGCCTGAACCAGGATACTGAATATTTTCAATTACCTCTTGGTATGGCTGTTGTTACAATCGTTTACTGCATCCCTTCGGTCTATATACACGACTTCACATCTTTTTCTTGAGCTCTGCATTTTTGGGGATCCAGTTTGTATCGTCCCGATAAGGGATTTATGAATTATGCAAACTCCTTTTTTAAATTACTCTACATATATTAATTTATTTCGCGGTTTTTTCGCGCTCAAAAAATGACGACTCTTTTTACTTACGGCCGAAGACAAAGGTCAAAACTTTTAAATCGATCCACACGGACTCTCTTTCTGATCGACCGTCGAACCGAACGCATCACGGACAATTCCAAGGTGTAAAGCAATTAAAAAGTGCCGGTACGCGGGTGCAGAGAATCAGCAACCCCCTTCAAGGGATCAAGGTAGGCCGCACCCTTTCGGAGTCGTCATTATAACATCGATCTTCAAACTTTATTAAAGGGAAAATCAAAAAATAGTAACCAGCCCAAATACAGTCCACTCAGATTTTCGTACATATAATTTTTGGTCACTTTGACCGCGGATTTTCTAACTAATGAAGTTTGCATTATTAATAATAAGTTTGTAATAGTCGGTACGATACATTTTGCTTGCGTCTGGTTTGCGTTCGTTTACCTCTTACCTCTCGACCGCTATCGCGATACCCGCCGAGCAGGTAGACAATTGCATTGGTTTTTTATCTCATAATAAAGTTGAATTGGTTGATTAATTAGACAAATATAATTATTTCTTTTACGACTAAGTTAACAATAAACTTACACAAAAATGGACAGTAAAACCTTAACAAAAATAAAACAATTCTCTCTTCAAAGGGACACTGACATTAGTAGGCTGGCTGAGTTAAAGGCAATCGCTCTTAAAAGTCAAACTGATCCTAGTCTCCATACTCATTTTCGAATGCGTATTAAGCATATCGACGCATTTATCGAGGATTTCGAACGACAAAAGTTCCCCATTACAACGATTTTGGCCAATGTTGAAGACGAGAGACTAGACGAGCACAACGCCATTCGGAAAAGATTCGATGACGACTATTATGAAATTCAAGCAATTTATTCTGAATTATTCGATAATAGGCAGTGTAACACTCGTCAAATTAAAAATGATTCGTCTCCTAGTCATGCATGTTTGCCAAAACTGGAAATAGGGAAGTTCGAAGGAAACCTCCATAATTGGAAAACATTTATTGATCTATTTAACTCCATGATTCACACTAGTAATTAGTTGACTAATTCCGAAAAATTTTCCTACTTCAAGGTAGTCCGCTTGCTCTCGTCAAATGTACACCTTTGACCGACGCTAACTACTCTATCGCGTACGAATCGTTGGTTCGAAGATATAACAACACGCGGTTCATCTCAATAAGCCATTGGCGGGCAATAGAAAAGTCAAAAAGACTAACTAACGAAAACGATGTAGACAGCTTAAGATCTC